CAAGAGAGGAAAGCAGCAGGAAGATGAGTGGGGAAAGGACAAGAAGTGTGGGGGAGCACTGGGAGGAGAATGTTGGACAAAACAGAGAGATTATTGGGATGATTTTGATGTGAGGCTGTGACTAAGGATGACATGGACATAGACCTGCTGTGTTGAGTCTCAGGGTTTCAAGTAAAACTCAAGTCAAACTATCACCAGTTTCACCACCACAGGAGGTGGTGTCAGGATCTCTGGCACTCAGACGATCCTGAAGTCCCAACGATCAGATGATCAAGTCAGGTAATCCCGACTCCTGGCCATCCTGAAGCCACCTCCTGTGATGGTGGTCTTGGAAGCTTAAAGATGCTGGCAGACTTTAATTGTGTTTAGATTTAAAAATCATAATATTGGTGGGAAGTATGGCTCTGAGAAAATTTCAGGCACATGGGATTAATCAATTCTCATGTTTTAGAAGTTCGAAACATCACTAGTTTTAGATGACCAAAGGATTAGTTAGGTAAATATCAAAATGAAGCTAGCTATGGCCTAAATTGTTCCAAATCCCTTCTTTGTTAAAAAAAAAATGTTGAAAACATTCACATTTATGCAGAGAAATTAGCTCTGAGAAGCTGGCAGAAGTTTCTATATAATATTCACTAACTTCTTAGCATTAACCTCAACATGGGACTTAGAATTTTCTCCTTGATTCCCTCCATCAAGGCAACCACAAATACCAGTCTGTGGCATGTAGGAAAACTTAAGCTGGAGTTATACAGGTTATGGGAAGAAAAATACATCAGACTTTACACACCTAACAATGTAAAAATTATATGTCAAATATTTCTGTTCTCATAAGTCCTTTTGGCCACCCAGGGGAATCCTATTGGCCTTTTCCTTAGCCTTCTGCTTTCTTAATGTTTCCTTTCCCTTTATCTTTTATTTTTCATCATTCCTTTGCTAATTCCCCCACCCTATCCCCAAAGGAAAACAAACAAACAAGAAAGATAAACAGATTTTTCTTATTTCCTGGAAAGCAATTTAGTTCTTTGTTGTTATTTGAGATGCTATTACAAGATCTCATCTCTTGCCCTTCATAATTTATTAAAATCTTTTCTTAAAGAAGAATGGCTCTCTTTTGAAAAGACTATTGGTATCAGCTACTTACAAAATATGTAAATATACCACCGATTATATTTGCATTTGGTTTTACAAATGCTAAGTACTACAGCCTGCTGAACTATCTAAAACTACAACCCTTTTATAAAGGTGTATGAGAAGATACACTTTTCATGCAGCATCATATCAGTAAGTGTAAGGCAGATGAATCTGCACAATTTCAATTTGTCTTTTCACAAACTCCCCTGGATGTCACTTTGCATTTAGTTCTCATTCCTATTACCATTTCATGGGTGTTGCAAATTGGGATATTCTGTTTTCTGGGAAAATTATTTGAACTTTTTTCACTGGTACTGACTTGATATATAAAGTTGTGTCTATGCATTGACAAATACATATCGAACACCTACTATGTGCTGTGCCTCATGGAAACAGAATGAGTAGATAGTCTGTGGGTGGGGACACTAGGGAGCACCCAAGTAATGATGCAGCAGCTTCAGGCAAGAGCAGTGATGGGAGACTGTCGTTTTTAATGAGTAGTCATAGAACTGGGCATAGCAAAGTTGTTCTTCCAGGTGCTCTTTAGATCTTTCATGTGTGGTCATTGTACACATTTAACTAGCTGATACAGATTCAAAGTTGGCATTCCCTGATATGTTCAGGATCATTAGATGGTGATCTTGCTTGTTTGGTAACCGAGTTCTTCAATTTTGTGGATCTAAATGTTTTAAATCTTAACTTAAACATGTTTTAAAATCACTTTTCTATGTTTTATTGCATTTCACCTGATTGGAATCCAGAGAAGTTTCTAGTTTTACTAATACCAAATTTAAAATTTTGTTTTTGGCAAAATTAATCTTTACTATAAGAAATATGTCTTGAACTTTATATCATGAATCCACTTTGAAGCTTAAGTAAAAGATACTTCCACGAGTATAGCTAAAAAACAAACTAAAACTCTGTTCTGTGTTACTTAGTTTTCTAACAATTTCTCTAGCTAAACAAATTATTCCATAGCTAGGTACAATAACATGGAGTACCTTCCTGTTTGATCAGAAAATTCATCAGATCATCTTTTTTGTTTGTTTGCTTCCAGTGATGTAGACAACATCACGAAATCAGCTTTCAGCCTTCATTTTGCCTTACTATATACTTACACATATTAGGAACTGTTAATGAGGAAAGGTATTGTCTTTCTGCTTCCACTTAATTAAGTTAATCCAATTCAACTCATTCATTCATTCAACAAATATTTATTAAGCACCTACATTATGCCAGGCACTGTGCTGGGTGCTGGGGATACATCTGTGAACAAGATAGACACAGTCCCTGCCCTCAAGGAGCTTACAGTCTAGTAGTTATACAGACAAGTACACAGGCAATTACAATGCAGTATGGTAAGTGCCATGATGTGGAAAAAACATTAAGAAGGGCACCTAACTCAGTCTCATAGTCAGGGGGCTGCGGATAGTCATGGAAATCTTCCCAGGGCAAGTAAAATTCAATTTGAGCACTGAAGGGTGAGTATGAATTAATTAGGTAAAGAGGAGACAGGGAAGAGTTATAGACGGAAGAAATAGTATATGCAGTGTTCTATGTGCTGCTTTGGTGGTTCATTTGCTGGCGGGAAGAGTTGGGTAGGAGTGCGAGGAGTCCTAGAAAGTTCTAGAAGAGATAAGTGACAGCCAGGTCATGAAGGGACTCATTTGCTCTGCTCAAGAGCTTGGAATTGGATAGTCATGGAAATCTTCCCAGGGCAAGTAAAATTCAATTTGAGCACTGAAGGGTGAGTATGAATTAATTAGGTAAAGAGGAGACAGGGAAGAGTTATAGACGGAAGAAATAGTATATGCAGTGTTCTATGTGCTGCTTTGGTGGTTCATTTGCTGGCGGGAAGAGTTGGGTAGGAGTGCGAGGAGTCCTAGAAAGTTCTAGAAGAGATAAGTGACAGCCAGGTCATGAAGGGACTCATTTGCTCTGCTCAAGAGCTTGGGATTTTCCCTGAGGGAACAGTGTGTGTGTGTGTGTGTGTGTGTGTGTGTGTGTGTGTGTGAGAGAGAGAGAGAGAGAGAGAGAGATATATCAAATTTGCACTTTTTAACGTTGCTCTTACTACAGCACAGAGATTGAATGGGGGATGGGAATCTCAAGAGTTGAGAAAAGGAGATCAATCTTTTATCTTTTCCAAATTCATCTTCCATCATACCACACTCCGTGCCCTCACCAGCCTATACAGTTGCATATATTATCTAAACAGTCATTGACATACACAGCTTTGCACCACTGCTTGCTCATTAAAACTCAATTCATCCTTCAGAGCCAGACTTCTGAAATCATCCTAATTTGTGCTTTCTAAATACGTGATTTTTATCTATATTGTATTACTTATTTACTATTCCAGATGAGCCAAACCTTCTTTTGAACCATTTTAATTTGATCCATATATAGCATAAGGTAATTTTTATAAATAAACACGGGTATAATTTTCTTTGCAATTTCCAATTGAAAACAAGGACTAATTCATTAGTTGTCTACCCCAAACTATTATTAGTGCCTTCAAATGATTTATATGGAACAATGGGTATGAGGGGAGAAGTCCAAGAGACACAATTTTATGCAGCAAAATACAGTCAAGTAAAATTTCAACACACAATTACAGGGTATGTTGCTGTTAAGACAGTGATTCATTCCCCGACTCAAAGACTGCGTCTTTGACAATTTAACCTGCTAACGAGTCAAAGATCTGTAAAAGAGGGGTAGCTTAGTATAATGACTAGCTACATTTTCCAATATGGTTCACCATTTGACTTCTACACTTCATCCTATAGTCTTGTAATTTCTCAAATAACTTTTATAATGATAAAAAAAAAAACCCTTTAAGCTCTGTAGATATTGTAAGAACGTCTGTTGTTTTATTCTTTCTGTTGGGTACAAAAACCACAATTTTGTACACAGAACGAGATTATAAATAATATACATAACATGAGTGACCCGTAGTCTTTTTTGATCTACATTGCGGACTGATGATTTAACATTGTTTTCTTCATTTTGTTTGTGTTCCTGTTAGTGAGACAAATGCAATCTGTGAACCGACTCGTGACAGAGTGAAGGTTACAGCAAACGAGATGACCAACAACGTTTATAAAAAAAAGTCTCTAAAGTTTATTACAGTGATGGCATTTATATCAATTATTGCAATGTATTGTTCCCTAAGATGGTTAGAAAAAAGAATTGTGTTGTCCTCTACTGAATTTACGTCAGTTAAAAAGCAAGCATGTTTCAGTATTTTTCTCCAAAGTAAGTGTAAATACTTCCTTTAAATTTTTTGTTTTCACAGGATTTACATGTTTGTTTATTATTTTCTTATCCCACTTTAGTGATTTGTTTTCTCAGCTGGATATTCTTCCATTGACTCTATGGGTGTTCTGGAGACCCAGGTTAGCATGTCCATTGACTTCTATGACTATTTGATCCCATTCGGTGAAGACAAAGGCCTTTCTGAGCAAAAATTTCACAGTTTAATGCGCTAACTGGCAAGTCTGATTAGTGTTAAAGTCCACTCGAGTGAGACTGGTTGCTGTTAATACACCCATCCCAGCTCCCCCCACCCACTCCCCGAGAAAACCTAAATTGTGAGTTTTCCTGATATAAAATCCGAGTCGGGGTTCCGAGCGGAGCTCATGCACACGCTGCTGCGGCCCGTGTCCGGCGCGGCTCGGCCCAAGGACTGGGTTAGCGGAGGCCCGCGCTTGGCGTGTCCCTCAGGGCTGCGTTCCCATCAGTCACCAACAGTTTAATTAAGGCACTCAATTATTTTTTTGGTTTTTATGGTAGGTCCGATGCAATGACAGCCAATCCTGAACTTTGTCTAATTGCAGTTCCCGTGTGTACAGCCTTTGGGCAGTCGGGCGTCAAGACGCGACCATTTTCTCCCACACTCCCAGTGATGGATAGTCTGGCTTTGTTTCTTATGGCTTCGGAAAAGGTCAGCTGGGTTGCATGGAAAAGGAAACAGAAAGAACGCGGAGTGTTACAATATTTCTGTGTCTTCAGCAAAATGGGACACAACAAACACCAAAATATCAATAATTAGACATCTGCATTTTTTCCCCATATTCTTTTGGTCATATGAAAACTACTTATGAAAGAAAGAAAAGCTCGACTACGCTGAAGAATGAATCAGTCGGGAGTTTGTGGTCCTAACTGTTTAAGAACTAATCCTAAATTCATAGAAGTAGGTCTTGTTTAGCAAGTCTGAGCAAGAAACATCTTTTCACTTGCTGCACTCTATGCCTTATTACTTCTAGTTGAGCTTAAAAGCTCCTTTATGTTTGACAACATTCTTTAAGTTATAATTTCTGGTTGGAAAATATCTTCCTTATCGTGCAAGAATTAGACTCTTAAAATTGTGATAAATTGCCTTGAAAACTATATGCATACACTATTCATGACAGATCTTCCTGTTTTCATAACACAGACCTACGCACAGACACTTTCATTCATTCATACCAGTTAGAGACATGACTCAGAACAACACAGTTAGTGACATATAGTTCACTCTATGCCTATTATGGAAGCTAAGGCTCATATTTTAAGAATTCTGCTTAAAAAAGTTGCACTGAAAGGGAGTATGTGTCAATATGTACTGAATAATCAACACTGGGGAACTTCTCTTATTGAGGTTACGGGGTCAGGTCTCTGAAATCCTCATTAAATTCCTGTTCCCTGACATTAGGTAGCAGATAATAATATTACACAGAGAAGAAACAATGTTATTATGTAAATCTAATTATTGTTCATTTACTGTCTTTTAATTCTTACTAGTAGCTGAATTTTAATGTTAATTCAAGAGGAAAATAAGGTAAAGGAGATATTCCCTAAGTTTGTTATGACTTAGATAATCACTCTCTCACAACTCATAATGAGTACCCTGTTATAAATTTAACTTTATCTAATTCTTTTGGAAATTCTATCCCTGCATTTATTCTGCCTCGGAACTTAAATATTAGAATAATTATTAAATAATAAAATCAATAAGTGGATTAAAAACCGTAAAAAGGCTTATTTGTTTATTTTTATTATTATTATTTTTTTTTAGTGGCTGGCCAGTGCAGGGATCTGAACCCTCGACCTTGTTGTTAGCAACACTGCACTCTTACCAACTAGCCCCTAAAAAAGTTTAGAGATCAGTTGCCCTAATATTTCAGAAAGATGAGGTCAAAAAAAAGGTCAATTTCACGGTTCTGTTTTAGTGAACAGTCTCAATTCTTAATACGTATCTTCATAAGCAGAACTCAGGATACAGTCTTTATGGAAACACTAGTAGCTTTTATATTTAGAAAGCATGGAAATGAAATGAGGATTTTAGGGAAAACACAACAGTCCCACTTAATTATTTTTATTATTCCCTTGAAATCTAAGTTCTTCTGACTTGCATTTGGCACATAATAGGCACTCAGTGTTAGAAAGCATGGAAATGAAATGAGGATTTTAGGGAAAACACAACAGTCCCACTTAATTATTCTTATTATTCCCTTGAAATCTAAGTTCTTCTGACTTGCATTTGGCACATAATAGGCACTCAGTGAATATTTGTTGAGTAGATGAATGTCCACATATGAGAAATACTTCTTTCTTGTAAGTGGAACTAATAGGATAAAATTCCAAATGAAGCATTGTCAAAACTTGCAGAACTGTACACTGAAAGGGGTGAATTTTACTGATGTAAATTATACCTTAAAAAATTCGAAATGAATTTATTGTATTCTGTTTTAAATTGAAGAGAAGCTGAATTTCAGTACACCAGAGAGGAAGTTAGAAATGAAACAATTCAATTCAAGTCAAACATCTGAGAGGATCCCTTATTCAGGGATCTCATTCATGCAGCAGAATCTCACCAGGGAACCAGGTGGTGTACATGGCTGCAGCAGTCTTGCTCTTTGAAGTGAGACTCTTGAGAGGTTATGTTATTAGAGATGGATATTTTCCTACTCAGTGTTAGTGTGCATATGCTTTTAGTGTGTATAAAAAAGAAGCATTAGCAAAGCAGTACTATTTACATCAAAAAAATTTAATAACAAAATGTTATCTTTAAGAAACCTAGACCAAAATTTGGTACCAGAGTTGCTGGATAACTTTATAGTGTAATCCTGTTTTTCGGTGTTATGTGTTTTAGATGGATGTTTTGGGGGTCAGATCCCTTTAGGGGGTACCTAGCTGTTTAGAACATTCTATTCCAGCATTGGTATTTTCCATGAGCTTCTAGAGAAAATAATTTTGTGGCAGTTGTGGGCAGTTTAGATTAGTTAGATTAAGTCACATGCTGAGGAAAACACGAAAAATAAATATCCACGAGTCTAATCCAAGCCAGTGTATCAGACCATCATGTATATTCAGAAGCTTTGGTTCCAAGACCATTCAGGGGCTTAACAGAGGACTTAGGGAAGGTGGTTCCAGAGAATTCATAGTTACCTACTCTTAAGTAAATTTAAACAAAACCAAGACCAAAGTCTGAATATGTTTCTTCAGATTCCCTTTCAACATTTAATATTAAGTAAAATAGATATTTTAAAAAATCTACTCATTTAGCTTTGTTTTAATATATATATATATATATATATATATAT